CTGTATTCTGCGTCCACGCCAAGAAGAAGACAGCTTATGTTATTCCCGTGGCCTGTTGTGGCCTAACGTGCTTGCCAGTTTTCGGCGTTCATCTAAGGACTATTCCGACCCAGAAGTCGACTCTAGGCCATGAGAAACTCACAGCAAAAATTCAGATAATTTCAAATGAATGACCTTTCATTCGAGAAAAGGAATTGGGGAGGTTGGAGACTTCTGACCACAGGGAGAAAAAGGAGTTGGAGTAAAAGAGAGAGCAGGATTTGGGTGGTGATGTTGAGAGGAGACGGGACCTTTAAAAGTCCGTGTCTAGTGGAAGGTAGTCATGGTACAGGGCAGCCCCTCGGAATGAATTACTGTTGATCTCATTAGGGGAGATTGTTATGGAGCTAGCTCCACGTGCGTGGCCGTGTCAACACATGGCATTTCCTTCTCCTGTCATGCCATCTTGTGACACAGCCAGGATACCTTTACCAGAAGCCAAATAGAAGGAGTCACTCCATCTTAGACTTTCAGCCTTCAAGAATGAGCTTTTCTTTATAAAACAAAAGCAAAACAACCAGCATCTGATATTGTGTTATACCAACACAGGTGAATGAATATACCTTGTTATATGGTAAACTAGAAAATTTTCTTGTTCCTCACCTTAGTCTCTGGCAACACATACAATATTATGAATCAGCCGTGTGTTGTGTTATGTGTGTGTGTGTGTGTGTGTGTGTGTGGTTGGTTGGTTGGATGGATGCATGTGGTTGTGGCTGTGTGCATATGGAGACCAGAGACCAGAAGACTACATTGGATGTCTTTCTCTATTGCTCCTTACTTTAATTTTGAGAAAGGGACTCTTTTTTTTTTAAAATTAAAACACTGCTTGGCCTATTAGCTTATGCATATTTCTAGCTAGCTCTTATATCTTAAATTAACCAATCTCTATTAATCTATGCATCACCATGAGGTTATGGCCTACTGGCAAAGTTCTAGAGGGCTCCAGTGGACATCTTTCTCCTTCAGCAGCGACATGGTGATATAAAACTTTAGACTCACAAAGATAGGCTAGATAATAGAGTATCTTCTTTAATTTGCCAAATGTAAATGGACTAAATATTGTAACTATAATTCTTGTTTGATAACTGTTTTGTTGTATGTAATTTTGTTAAAGTTAAGACCGTTTTTTATTTAGACAGAAAAGGGGAGATGATGTGGGAGGTTCTGTATTTGTGTTGCTTTTATTAGTGAATGAATAAAGAACTGCTTGAATCTACAGCAGGGCAGTGTAGAGCTAGGCAGGAAAACTAAACTGAATGCTGGGAGAAAGTAGGCAGAGTCAGAGAGACAGGGACTCTTATGAACCTGAAGCTCACGGCTTTGGTTAGACTGGTTAACCAGCAAGCGGTTATGGATCTGCCTCTCCATAATCCTAGTGCTGGAGTTAGAGACAGACACCACTGCCCTTGGCTTTCATGGGAGTAGTGGGGATCTAAACTCAGATCCTCACGCTTGTTGGGAAGTGCCTTATCCTTTAAATCATCTCTCTGTCCAGGAAGCAACTTCTGGAAAGATGAACTCAGCAGTTGAGAACTCGGAGGTAGTTCCAGGGAGAGGGATCAGCAAGAGGAAACAATAATACAGTGAAAAGACAAATTATCAGGAGATGAGAGCAGTGCAGAGTCTAGGGGGTGAGAAATAAAAGGATACAAGAAGGAGGAGGCCTTCCTTAGATACCTTGCCACATGGAGAATTTGGGCTTTATTTTGTGGGGAGGCACTATGGTGCTTTTATTGGTTGTTGTTTGGACAGGTTCTCATGTAGCCTCCTCTTACTGCTCAGCCTTGATATGCAGATAGGATTACCTTAAATTTCTCATCCTCCTGCATCCATTTGGGTTTCCGGCTTGTAATACCACACCCAGTACATGTAGTGCTGGGCATCAAACTTAGAGTTGTGTGCATGGTGGACAAAACACTCTATCCACTGGCCTATATCTCCAGCCTAGAATTGAAGCTTTTCAACCAGAAACTGGCTCAAAAAGTCAATTCTCTAGCACTGTGGAGGGTGAGTTTGAGGAGCAAAAAAATGGAGGTGACAGGTGGCTTGAGGGTTTGACCTAGGGCAGTGCCTCCTTTTGTAGGTGAAGGAAGGTGGCCATTCTGGGTAATGCCAGTAAGACAGAATAGATAGGGCCGAGCAAGAAGTATGGTGAGGAACGTGTGGACAGCTCTCTGTTGAGAGTGTGACTAACAGTTCTTAGGTAATTTGCAACATCTTAGAATATAAGAGTCCTCATCTGTGTCCGTGATTACAGCGCGTGCATTTGAGATTTCTTGAAGGCTGACAAAACGTGGAAAGGTAAGTAGCACGGCACCGAGAGAGTGGACTCTCGCTGTTGATGTGTCATCTTAATTTCCTTTAGTCATTGCTGGAAGCAGGTAGTGAAGCCAGGAAGCCAATAGGGATGGATACAGTGGTTCCATCTTGGGTGAGATGGTGGGTGGTGCTAAAGAGTGAAGCCCCCTTGTCAAGGAAGAAGCTGCAGTGTCGAATTCTGAGACACAGCCTCTGAAACAGTGCTGTTTAAATGCGGAGTCTCAGAACTGAGTGTGGGGATCACACAAAGGTTAGCCAGAGTAAAAGGCTTCTGAACTCGCAATGACCAACAAGTCATTCAAAACCAAATGCGAGGGGTTTCTGGTGGCAGTCACCTCTGTTGCCTTGGTGACCTCCCCACACACAGCCAGCATGCCCTGAACATTCCACATGCCACCAGACCACACAATGCCCACTAATGCTGTCCAAATCATGACTGTTGTGTAGTATGAATTGCATTACTTTGACTGAAAACACGTACTTTTCTGCTCTTATAGAAACAATGGCCTAGAGCTGGGCGGTGGTGGTGCACGCCTTTAATCCCAGCACTCCGGAAGCAGATACCGGTGGATCTCTGTGAGTTCTAGGCCAGCCTGGTCTACAAGCGCTAGTTCCAGGACAGGCTCCAAAAGCTAGAGAAACCCTGTCTTGAAAAACAAATAAACAAAGAAACAATGGCCTAATTAGGAAAACAAAGACAGTATTTTCCCACTGTCATTACTTAGCACGCGTTAAATAACTTTACCTTTGGATTGGCTTAAAATGTCTGCTGTTGAACTTACTAACTTGAGTTTCATTTAAAAATTGATGAATAAATTTTGGCTTTGATTTATAAAATAAGCCTGAATGTGTACTTCTGCCACTTTTTCATTACCTATTTATATGAAATGTGAAGAAGTATTCTAAGTACTAAAGACTATAAAACCAAAAGATCAGTCAACTGAATAATACTGGAAATGCTCTCTGTCCCGAAGAATCCAATCTTCGGAATCAGGGCTGGGGAGAGGGCTCAGTGAGCCTGCTCTGCAAGCATGATGACCCAGCAGTCGTGCGAAAAGCTGAGCGTGCTGTGTACTCAACTGTAACTCCAGTGTGGTGGACGGCAGAGGCAGGAGGATTGCTAGGGCTGACTGGTTGCCAGGCCAGCTCCAGGCTCAGTGAGTGGGAGTTTGTCTCAAGGGCATAAGGTAGAGGGTCGGTAGAGAAGGATGCCTCTTGCTTCTGTGTGAGTGTGTAAGGGCATGCATACTTGCACACCTATACACAATTGCACACATACTCGCATGTACACACATAGCACATGCATGACTTCTGTAAGATGCAAGAGATGGCATACCTGGCTCTCTACATTTAAAAACACTGTTAAAAAAAAAAAACCTAAAAAGTGTACCCGCATGGTAATACCCCAAAGTCATAAGATGTTTATATCATAAACAAATGATATATACACACAACAAACACACACACAATCATAATACAATTTAAAAAGGAAATCAGGATGGCAGTAATAATGTTCACTTCTGTGCTAGTTCGAGGTAGCTAACTCTTCCAGCGGTGAAATAGCTAGTATTTCATTGTTGGTATAAAACACAGACAAAGAAACGACTGTCAAAGTAGGAAGGCAGAGCCTACAGACACTGGGATTTGACTCTCATTCTCTTAAACACTGGAAATAGTATTCACAGCTTACAGAGTAGACAGTTACTTTTACAATTTAGAATTTATCTTCAGAGAGAATCAGGTATCAGTGGACTCTCCTTAACATTCCTGAGAAGTGCCCAGGCCTCAGGCAAGCTTTGATCCACACTGCTGAAAGGGTCCAGCCTTCTCTCCATCTGTCCGTTCAGCCTCGACAATATGGCTGTAGTCTTGCTTTCTCATCTGTGGTTGCCTGAGTCATTTTCATGGTTTTCGTCGGTGGTAACTAAATGGCTCCAGCAGTTTCAAGCCTCCCACCGGCACACCATTCCAGCAGATGCATCAACTCTTGTCTTTCCTCAAAGCTCTGGGAAACTTCTCCCCGTCTCTCATCGGATCACGTGTCCATACCCAGAGGACCCATTGGAGTCCTCTTGCAGTTCATTGGGTCCCCTTTCTGTCAGTCATCCCAGCCCTACCTCTAGGGATCGAAGAGGGCATTTCCCATAGCAAGTACAGGCTTCTTGGAGAAAATGTACACTGGCTGGAAGAGGCAGCTGTCCACTATGCTTTCATGACTTCAAGTTCTCATGACTGCCATCCTGACTTCCTTTTTAAATTTTATTTATTATGATTGTGTGTCTGTTGTGTGTCTGTGTGTGTTTATATCATTTGTTTATGATATAAACATCTTGACTTTGGGTTATTACCACGTTGGTGCACTTTTTAAGTTTTTTTTTCTAACAGTGTTTTTACATGGATTTACTTTGTTTCTTTTGTTGCCCCATATCCTAAATAATCTCCTATGTCATTTGTAAACTCATTTTACTGACTACACTCATGACATTTTTATCAGCCCAGTGAAATCTCTCAATGGAGACTGCACAGATATCAGCAGTAACACAGCTGGCAGCTCTATTTTCTTCAGACTGGCCTGAGTTAATGTCCTGGGAGGAAGAGCTGCCCAGTTGCTCCCCCATTAGTCTTGCTTTTGTCATAGCCAAGGCTTGAGAGTTCTTTCTGCGCATGACTTCTGAGGCTTGGCTGGGGAGGGGAGAAGATGGAGAGAAGTCCAGTTCAAACATCAGGTCCACATCGTGGTCCCCTTGCCCATCACCACCATTTCCTAATAACAAAAACATTAGACACCAGTTCACACTTCCTTGTAGCTTAAGACACTTCCCATTTTGTGTAAAAAAACAGCCAGAAGTGGGAGAAATCACCACTAGCGTCCTGGAGATCCTAGGTGGAAGAAGCTAGCACCAAACAACCCTGAAAACCAGCACTCCCTGGCACTGGTCTCTTAAGAAACACAGGAGCACCTCCATGGAAGGTGGTTTTCATTTGGGTTGCACTTTTCTCGGGTAAGAAGGCCAACTCCTTTAGGCTTTTCCGAGAATGTTTCAGATCCTAAATTTGTGAGCCCAAACTTATGTGTTCATAGTCTAAGCAAAATAGTCAAGTTGAACTTGGGAATTGATAGTTGACAGCGTGCCAACCAAAATATTTATCTTCTTTGATATAATCAGCGAGTTCCAGGATTTTTCATGAGACTTTCTTATATAAGGAAACAGGGCATTTCATTAAAACTGCCCTGTTGGAAATTATATGATAGCCTTTGTAAAAATAATGTTCTGGAAAGGAGGGATGGGACAATTCCAATATTGGGAGAATGATGGGCTGCATTTTGTGAATTCGGCTGGCTGGATTCTGTGTGTGCTACCAAAGCTCATAGTAACCATATTGTAAGCAAAGGGGAAGGTTCTGGTTAAGGGGTTAGAGGCGGTTGGCTCTGTTTTCCACTCTGCTGGGGTTGTGCCGTCTCTTGCATCTGACAGAAGTAGTAATCTTTACTATGTCTGATGAAGAATCAAGAGGAATGTCTAGATGTAGAGGTAGGAGACGAAGACTCAGAGGCTTTGTTATGGAGACACGGAAGTTGGTTTCCTTATCTGTGAAATGGGAATACAGTCTCATCCACCAAGGGATTGTGAGATAGAATGTCGTCTATGTGAAAATGACTTCTTTTTTCTACAATTTTCATCTATATTGTTGTCATCATTTTTACTTTAATGCTTGCTTGTGATGACTTACAGTTTGACTGTAATATTTTACAATTTGACTGCGATAGCTTAAGTTGGAATTTGTGGTTTAAGTTCTCAAAGTAACAATGAAAACATGAATGGCAGATCCTTTGCACACCCAGGCATGCACGTGCACACAATTAGTGTAACTAGGGCTCACCTTGAACTCACAGTCCTCCTGCCAGAGCCAGTTGAGTGCTGGAGTTGCAGACCTGTGTTCCCATGCCTGGCTGCAGCACCTTTTGTCTGTAGATATCTGAAATTCTGTCAAGCGATGGTGGAGGCTGAAGAATAAGCATTGGATTTTGCTTTTTCTTCTTATGTTACTTTATTGTGTTATCTGTGAGGGTGTAGCTCAGAGAGCATTGCTTACTCATGGTTTAGGATTAGAAATGATACCCACTATATGCCAATCAAGACTATGCCCCAGGTATGCTACTTGGATAAAAAGCTAAGCAGACAGTTTAAACCTTTTGCTTTTGTGATTATTACCATTACTCTCTCCTGTTACAGATGAAATTAAAGATCTGGGAGGCAAGTGCCCTGGTTTGTTTTTTTTTTTTTGTGTGTGTGTGTGTGTGTGTTTTGTTGTTGTTGTTTGTTTTGGTTTATCTTTTGGCAACTGGACACAGGTAGGAAGTTATCTGAGAAGAAGGACTACAGCTGAGAAAAATGCCTTCATAAGTTTGGCCTGTGAGGCACTTTCTTAATGAGTGATTAACGTGGGAGGGCCCAGCCTGCTGTGGCAGTACCACACCTGGACAGGTGGCCCTGGAGTGTGTAAGAAAGCCAGCTGAGCAAGCCATAGGAAACAGGTCAGTAAGCAATGGTCCTCCATGGCTCCTCCTGGAGCTCCTGCTGAGCAAGCCATAGGAAGCAGGCCAGTAAGCAATGATCCTCCATGGCTCCTCCTGGAGCTCCTGCTGAGCAAGCCATAGGAAGCAGGCCAGTAAGCAATGGCTGACAGTAAAGATAACCAATTAGTTGAAAAGTCTATTCCTCTTTATGTGGTGCACCATATACAATCGGTCCCAAGGAGTCCCTCCCAGCTCTATTATAAGGCTGAAAGAATTTTGTACATTGAACATACACGTGTTTCATTGGGAAATCCCATTGCCTGTACAGGGCACAAGGCCATGAGGGGGTGGGGAGTGACTAAGTCTGGCCTAGATCGTCTGGGGCTGAGCCCTGACTGCAGCTTCCTGACCTTACCGTCTCTGGCAAACTGCAGTCACCGGACTTTGCATTTATAATAGGTAAAGGGAGGCTTAATAAAAATTGTCCTTAGCTGTTACACAAGGCTGGTGTGAGGGCCACATGAAAGAACAGACAGAAAGGGACTGTGAGCACTAGAGAGTGCTGGGTGGATGAACCGGGCAGTGCCTACTGCAGGGTTAGAGAGGTGGTAGTGGGAGCTAGGGGGTGTTCCGAGAGCGAGGATGGCGGCGATATTTTACATCTTGTTGTTAGTTGACACACAGCCGCTGAGCAGGCAGAGTGCCAGGACAAGCTGCACTCAAGGTTCTGACTCCCTTAGCGTCCCTGACTAAGAACAGCTGCTATAGTTTAAATCTTGAATGTCCCCGGAAGGCTCATGTAATGAAAGGTTTGCCTCTTTAACTATTGGTGGTGGTAGATCCTTTAGGAGGCAAAGATGGGAAGAAAGTTAAGGCATCGGAGCCTGTTTCTGAAGGGGATGTAGCACCTGGGCCCTTTTTGGTTTTCTCTTTGCTTCTTAATTACTTTGCAGTGAGCAAGCCTCTCCTACCACACATTCCTGCCATTGTGTGTTTTGCCACTACAAGCCCAAAACAACAGAGGCAAGCAACCACAAATTGAAATTTCTGATACAAAGCAAACCTTTCATAATGATTTGTCAAGGACCAGCCTTGACAAAAATACTTCTTACCAGGGTGAGGGCATGGGAATTGAAGAAATATAAGTAAAGAATATGAAGATGCATAAAAAGAATAAGACAGAAAACACAGAACTATCGGGAGGGCATTCCGGTGGTGGAAATGCTAAAGTTCACCTGGTTTACTTTTTCACGGCTTTTAGACCCAACATAAAGGGGGAGAGAAGGTAACAGAAGACTTTATTAACCTGATACAAAAGGGTAACTCACGCGGTCAATGACCTTATTATTTTGAGACATCAAATCGTTAGCATTCCGTTGTCTAGGTAACTGAGGTGCTCTAGGCCAGGTACTCCTAGTTACTAAAGAAGGAGCAGAAGTACATTTGCATATCCTGACTTCCTATCAGGAGGGCAGTGGCTTTCTAGAGTGAGTTATCTTAATTTAAAAGAACCAAGCAGTCATTTCCTGAGTTAGGATCTGCAACTAAGCTTGTCAAATCTCCAAACTCTCTGAACAGGCCTGCAATTTTTTTTTTTTTGTCTCCTCAGATCTTTTATCACAGTGGCAGAAGGCAGACTAAGCCAATAGGAGGCTGTGTAGAGGCCTTCACCTCCCATAATCACAGATGAATGGGAAGCCAGTACCGAGCCACAAAAAGGTTGGGCACCTAACAATGACTACTATTTATCTATTTATTGAGCACTCACTATGTGCCAGACAGGATGCTTTGTAGTTCATGAACATGACCTTTTAAAAGAATTTCTCATGTCCTATAATGAGGCCAAGATGACTAGAATTCCCATTTTACAGACAAGGGAACAGAAGGTCAGAGAAGTCAACTGACTTGCCTGGAGATTGTAATTAGAGAACAGCTTCCTCCTAGAGAGACCCGTCCAGGTGTGGTGACCACATCCTCAAACACTAGGCTACACTGTAACCCCCAGTTCTTGTACAGTCCTCACACTCTCTGCTTCCTGCCACAAAGCACAGACCTGCCGGTGCTATCCAGCTTCCCAAGAGAGTGGGCACAGAAGAAGGCCTGGGCGCTGATGCGGGGTCAGCACCTCTGTTTCTTCCTCACTGAACAGGTGTCCCCCCTTATCTGACCCCAGACAGATCATGGTAGGATGACAGTCGCAATTATAGTGGGATTTGATGAGGTGGTCACAGTTAGAGACTATCCATGGCTTAATGATGGGGTCAGCATCTGGTACCCCAGCATTTCCTTCTCCAAAGAGCAGGGCAAGTCATCACATGTCTACTTAGTCACATCCAGTGCCAGGGGCCAGTGTACAGGAGAGAAAACAGAAGGCCATATGTGATGGAAGCACACTGGAACAGAGTAAGTGGGACTGAAGCCCGAGGAGGCCAGACAATTTGGACAGAATGATCAAGGCACCTTGATTGACCCATAAAGGACTTGGGAGAGTGGGTGGGACTTGAATCAATAAAAAAGGGAGTAGGCTGATGGGAGAGCACTTAGAGAAGGTGACATTTGTGAGAAACCGAGGATAGAGCAACAATAGGTTGCAAATGAGTTGAAATGAGCGCTGGTCTTGGGATGCCTTCAGCTACTTGAAATGGAAATGCCTTAAACTGTCAATCCTGAGGGTGTACACCAGTAACTTTGTGCTCTTCAGGAAAGGAGGGGAGGAAAGGTAAGAAAAGGAAATACAAGAAAATGAAGAATTGACTTAAATGAGCTAGTTGTTCACAGTCTAGAGGTATAGTGGGTTTCTGAATGGATTGAATTAATAGTCACAGAACACCATTAAAGAGTCAGTACTTGGTTCACAGCATCATAGCAATCAGGCAACATGCTCCGTCTTGTGCATCCAACAAGAGAGACTCATTATCTTCCCAAGATGTCACAAAAAGGCCCTTCTTTGTATTTCATTGGCTCGATCTGGCTTTACCACTGTCTGTTCTTATATAAAACGGTGATGAAGGGAGTGGAATATGACTGGCTTCTATTAGCAGATCGCAAGCATCAGCCTGGAATGAAAACAGCTTTGTGCTCCAGGGTTTCTGATGCCATAGGTCTGGAGCTGCCATGTCACAATCGCATTGCTGCTCCAGGCCCACACTTTGAAGACTGGTATAAAATATGCGAGGGTGACAAATGATGATGCATCGGCCACTGTGTCCCCTAAAGTCAGGGCAGCCCAGTGTCCTGCTTTGCCTGCCTCGTTATGCTGGAGTTGCTGGGGACAGAGCTCTCCACTCTCAAAAGGGTTGAATCATTTTCACATGGACATTTGACACCCAGATGATGGAGGTTTAAGAAAGAGTCTATGCTTTTGGGTTCTGAGAGTACCAAACATTTGTTAGAGAATAATATTTTTAAAGGGAACGTAGTGTGGAGTTCATGAGAGGACAGGATTGGATGGATAATCTGAGCTCTAATAACAAAGTTTCAACCAGTTGAATACAGAATGGAGCAAGAGTTAATTGTCAGTTTAGTTATTGGTTACCTTGACAGTCTCTTCTAGCCCACAAAAGAGAAAGTGAATCATTAGAAGTACAGAGGTCTTGACAAGCGTATGATGTAGGCGTGGGGACACCAAGGGCTCTAGCGCTCTTTTGTTCCTTTTTCTGTACCCAAAATGAGTTGATGTTAAAATAAGTGCATTTTTCAAATAAATGGCACATAATAAATTTATGTTGTTCTTCCAACAGGAAGAAATCATTATCTATTGATCCATCCATTTTCATTGGATAATCAAAAAGAGAGTTTGAAATTAGTAATAGACCTTGGAAATGTCAGCTTCAGGAAAAGCCTACGATGATAGCAACTCAGAGGCCAGTCTGGTCTACAGAGCCACACAGAAAAGCCCTGTCTTGAAAGAAAATAAAATAAAAAGAAAGAAGGAAAAAGAAAAAAAAAAGCAACTGCAGTTACCCCATCTCAAGAACGTCTTAGAACTGAAGATCGCTTTTAAGTACTTGACTCCAAGTGCCGACAGGATGTCCGTGTGTAGGAGTTGGAGCTCATAGTTGGCCGGTATGGGTTGAATGGCACAGATTATAATGCATTTATACAAACCAATCAATTGCCCAAGAATGTACGATGAGAAAAAGCAGGATAAATTAGCTACTGTGAGAAGAGGCTGGGAAACTGCTCAGGAGGGAGCCTGGTGAGAGAAAGTTTGATGAAGTCGGTGGGTGAGAGAATGATGAGAAATATTATGAAATAAGCGAGTTCCTCCTTGACATGCTCCTAACCTGTCCTGGACAGTGTCTCGCTTGAGCTGACTGACTAAGCTCCCAGGCGGTATATATTACAAAGAGGCAGAGATGACCACACCTATTCAAACTGGCTGCTCTTTCATCCTGCTGCTATTTTCCTTTTGTTTTTCTTGGTTCCAAGAGTGATAACAGAATGGGATTTAGAGGTGCGGTGCAGAGATTCCACCCAGTTCTACCAGGGCAAACGTGACCCAGCATCACTTGTCCTTACTTCTCAGATGCATATATAGAACAAATTCACTGAAGACAGAGTCTGCATCCACTGCTGAGAGTGACAACTGGTGCAGCTAATATGGAAATTAGATGGAGGTTCCTCAAAAACCTAGGATCATATCTTCCGGAAGGTCCAGATCCACCACGCCTGGACATGCGTCCAAAGGACTTCCATAGAATACTGTTGTCAAGACACGTTGTCTTCCACCTTTGTGCCGCTCTCTTCACAATAGTTAGAAATTGGAACCAGTCTACATGTTTGTCAACTAATGAGTGGATTATAAAATTGCGGTCTATTGTATTCATCATGTGTAGCACTAACACATATATACACATATGAGTGTAACTCTGGGGGATCCTCACAGCTCTAGGGGGTGAAAGTTGAAAGCACGATTGTCAGATGGGTTGATGGCTACTCTGAAAGGAAGATCCTCCTCCCTTCATTCTGCTGGTCACTGGCAGTCTTTGGGGATACCCTGGTGTAGAAGCATCACTTTAATAACTTCCTGTATCTTTACATAGACATCTCCTTCCTCTCTCTCTCTCTCTCTCTCTCTCTCTCTCTCTCTCTCTCTCTCCTAATCTAAGGACATCATTCATATTGGATCAAGAGGCCCACTTTTCTAGAAAAGTCTCTGAGAAATTGTTGAAGAATTCAAGCCCGGCAAAGAGAATGAGAATGAACACATCACAAGTCTTTTCTGCTGTCTGATGAGCTCTCTCTAAATTGGAGATGCTTTGATGGGAGTTGGTGAACCTTCTCTGAGACAACGTACTTAGAGACAGAGCTATTTTACAGTTTAAGATTGTTCATGGTTAAAGGTGCTCCGTCGAACATTAACAACAAGAAGGAAAAGGAAAGAACAGCATGCCTTTTACTTTTTTCCCATGATAGCTATCAGTAATTAGATAATATACAGTGAAGATTTTTTTTAATCTCCTTTACAAAGCCCTGGTATCATTAGCAAGAAGTTTTAGTCACCAGACAATCTCATGTATTTTCTTCTATAGGTAAAAACAGATTTTGGGCTTCTTTAAGCCATTTATACTTGTGTTTTAAATTGCTACCAGGTGTGTGTGTGTGTGTGTGTGTGTGTTGTATGTACATGTGGTATGTATATGTGTATGCATGTGTGTGTATGGGAAGGCAGAAGCCATAGGATGAATCTTAGACCTTCCTTCATTATACTGTTTTATTAAAATAGGGCCTACCTAGACTACAGAATGAGTTCATGGTCACTCTGTGTGTGTGTGTGTGTGTGTGTGTGTGTGTGTGTGTGTGTGTGTGTGTGAGAGAGAGAGAGAGAGAGAGAGATGGGATTCCCCTCTGTATGCTATGAATATGTTTTATTACCATTGGTTATTAAAGAAGCTCTTTGGTTAGTGGCTTAGAAGAGGAAAGCCAGGCCGGAAATCCAAACAGAGATATAGAGAGAAAGTAGGCAGAGCCGAGAAAGTAGGCAGAGTCAAGGAGACGCCATGTAACTGCTGAAGGAGAAAGACACAAGCAGCAAGCCAGAACTTTATTGTTAGGCCACAACCTTGTGGTGATACATAAATTAATAAAGATAGGTTAACATAAGATGTAAGAGTTAGCTAGGAATACACTAGAATCATTGGCCAAGCAGTGCTGTAATTAATATAGTTTCTGTGTGATTATTTGGGTCTGGGTGGCCAGGAATGAACAAGCAGTCTCCACTTACACACATAAACTGGCCATAGCTCAGTTCACAGTAAAACAGAGCTCAGAATTAATAAATAGGGTTGGTTGCCAAGTATTTATGGGTGAGCCATAATTCCAAATTTGGTCTGGTGGACTTACTACGTCTGTAGACTTGCTGAGAGATCATGGAGTGTGTAGAAGAAAAACAATAAATAAATAGTCTTTTTTTCCCCCCTAACCTAGTTTCTTTTTTCTGGGCTTTACCTACCTCATAGTTACCAAGCACTATGCTTGAAATGAGTTTACCTACTAGACACTGCTAATCTCATTCATGGAATCAGACTTAACCTCTTGGAGGTTCTTCTTAAGAAACTGATAAGAAGAAGTGTTGAGAATGCTGTTCAAGAACTGACTAAACCACACCTCTGAGCTCTCACAAAATTACAAACCCATGCACAGGCCAGATTACAATCAGACCTCAGAGCTCACAGCAAATTCAAGAACTGTGACGTTTTAGGTCATCATCCATTGCCTGAATGTTGTTTTAAGCCTTCTGTTAGACTTCCTCTGTATGATGAAATACCCATCTATGGATCCAGTCTTTCAGAAGAAGGGCGTTTACGGTGAGTGTACTAAAATAGCGATGTCAAAACGTTCAAATATTGCAGCTTTGAGGGAGAGGGATCTGAAGTGCTTTCTCTTCCCCAATTCGTTCGCCCTAGGAATGTGTTCCTCGTCGTCCTGGAGGGACGCAAAGCCACAGCTTCAGAAAGTGAGCCACTGGTTTCACTGTTGAGTAGCTTTAGCTACGAGGCTTTCACAGAATGAGTCACATTGTGTGGCTGACCACATAGTCTTCAGGGGACTGTAGACAACACACTGCATTGTGTTCTCTTGAAATCTGTTTGCTGGAGTGCTAACCTACAGTGTAAACTGTATTTAGAGATAGGGCTTTGGGAAGGTCCTGAAGGCAGCTAAAGTCATAGAGATGGGAGTCAAGTGATTGGTGCCCTATAAGACAAGGACGAAAGAGGGAACTATCTCTAAGGAAAGCCCATATCCGAACACATCAAGAGAGGGTGGTAAACTACAAACTACAGAGAGCCCATCCGAAACCAAGCTACCATCACTTTGATGTTCGATTTCACGGCCTGTCAGGAATCAATCTCTTTTTTTTTTTTTTTTTTTTGTGGAAGTCACCTAGACTATGGTATTTTGTTACCGTTTAGCCTGAGCTGAATGAGACACTGTGTACGTGTTTCCTTTTCTATGTCTATTCTATTCCTTAAAGTTGATCACGCCTTTCATTATTCTCCTCCTCTTTTTATTCCTCCTTATCATCATCATCATCACTAATATTAGTGTATGCATGTGTGTGTGTGTGTGTGTGTGTGAACATGGGAGCATATATACCACAGAGTGCATGTGGAGGTCAAGCATAACTTTTAGGAATCAGTTCTTTCTTTACCATATTCCAGGGACTGCTTGTACAACAAACACTACTACCTGCTGGGTCATCTCACCAGATAGAGCTTCCAACCATTCTTTAAAATTTAAGTCCATAGTGGATTCCTTTGTTTATCTTATACTATAACTAGGTTGCTGTCCAGATTGAATGCCTATTTTTGAAGTCACAGCAGCTTGTGTTGAACTCACCAAAATCATCTTGTTAGAACTCTCCATGGTGTTCTGAGTGCATTCAGATTTCATGTCTTCTTGTGGACCATACATAAAACCATGCTGACTTTGGTCTTTCAAACACACACACACACACACACACACACACGGTGTAACTCAAGGAAAGAACACTCAACTAGAATACATGAAGTGTTGAGTTTAATATCCAATACTTGAAAACAAAAACCTACCATAGCCATCAATACCACCAAAACCAGAAAGCAAGAATAAATCTGACCCCATTCACCTACATGAAATGAAAACCCACCAGGAAACACATTATACACAGGTTAAAGCTGTGGTTGCCTACAATCCTCAGAGGTTTAGTTGAACTTCTTCCTGGAACTGGCAATCCAGCCGTCTCTCAAATTACCAAGTATGAAATCATAGTTTTAAAATGTGAAGATTTTAAAGAATGTTATTTCAAAATACCAATGTGAGCTCCAAGAGTCAGCTGGTTTTGTAATAGAACAATTTCTGTACTCAAAATCTAGGCCCGTGCAAAAGATTTCCTATTTAAAAGTTGATGCTGTGCTGGGTGTGGTAGCGCACACCTGTAATCCCAGCACTCAGGAGACAGAGGCAGGTGAATCTCTGTGAGTTCGAGGCCAGCCTGGTCTACAGGGTGAATTTCAGGTCAATCAGGCTTGTTACACGGAGAAATCCTGTCTTGAAAAACAAAACAAAACAAAAATTGATGCTGTATAGACTGTGGCCTGAATATGCAGCTTTGTGTTAGACAATATACGTACTTAGCATGTGTTAGGTCCTGAATTCAATTTTGAGTATCAAAACCCAAAAACTAACCAAGACAAAAAGACTTCAAACAACACTAAAGCTAAAACCAAATTTGGACTCGGGGTTTGAAGAGTTGAATTCAACTATCACTTTGCAAGTGATTAGTTAAGGAACACAGGTAGTTTCTATCCCCAAGTTTCCTTACCTTGAGCCAAATAAATGGCTCTTAAAAAAAATAATTGTTACTGTATGCGTATGGATGTTTTGTTCAAATATGTGTTTGTGCACGGTGTGCATGCCTGGTGTCCATGTGAGATGACAGTTGTCAGGTCTCTTGGCACTGGAGTTACAGACAGCTGTGGTCTACTGTGCAGGTGCTGGGAGTGAACCCTGGTCCTCTGGAAGGGCAGCCAGGCCCACCTTTTCAGTCCAAATCAGTGGTTCTTTGGGTGTGAAACTTTCAGTCCACACAAAAACATAAATCCAACTTAAGGTAAAGGACGAGTGTGCAAACATGTGCGCAAA